AACAAAATTGGGTAAAGTTCGGTGTATTTTTTCGGTGTATATTTCGAAAAAAAAATCAAATGCCCGAGAAATTTTTACAAGATGAAATTGAAAATGAATTGCAAAGTAGTGACGATGAATTTTATATTGACGCGCCTGAAAATGATAGATTGAATAGTGATAATATTAGTGACGAAAGTGACTCTAGTAATGGTAGTCATATTACAGTTACTAAAAGACAGAGAACCAAACCTTTACCGTCAAGTTCAATCAGCAGTGAAGAAAACGAGAATATAACACAACCTGGTAAATTTGGTCCATGGCAGGAAGTCACATGCCACGATCAGGTACCAAACAGGATTCTATTCACGTCTGGAGATAAAATGGTAGGACCACAAATTCCAGATACTAGTACAAAACCCATAGATTTTTTCAAGCTCTTTATCAACGATGAGCTAATAATAAAAATAGTGGAGCAAACAAATAACCACGGTAGACATAAATTAGCACAGAAGAGATTGTCAAAACGTTCTATATGGCACACATTGGTAGATACTAGCGTAGAAGAATTTACCGCATTTATTGGGGTTGTCCGAGCGATTTTTACAAATTTTTTGGATGCTCCACTTGCATGAAAACGATCCAACTGACCAAACTCTTAGGCCTCGAACTCAGAAAGTTAGTCACTACTTAGATTATTTGGACAAGCAATTAATAGAACATTTTGTTCCATCAAGAGAGATATCGGTTGATGAATCTGTTGTTGGATTTAAGGGTAAAATTAGTTTTTTAACTTACAATCCTAACAAGCCTACGAAATGGGAGATAAGAATTTATGTAATAGCAGATGCTAGCATTGGATATGTTTATTCAATTTTGCCGTACCTACTAGAGAAGCTTGACATCGGAATATTTAGTGAGATCTGATTTACCTGTAAGTACAAGGATAGTGTTACATCTGTGTCAAAAATTATTAGACACCAATCCAGGATGTAGAGGATATCATTTTTACACCGATAGATATTATACGAGCATGCCACTTGCAGAAAAATTGTTAAAACTAAATGTTCATTTGACAGGCCACTATTCAAATCAACCGCAAACTTATACCTGATTCTATCAAAAAATCAACGTTTGCGGAAGATAACACATTTGCATGCAGGCAATTCGATGTTATTGGCGTAAAAGGGTCGTGGGCTATTTCACGAACACTATCAACTATTTAAGACTATCAACGTGGAGGTAACCGCGCAGACTCTTATTCAGCGTCATATTGTTTCCTGAGGAAGTCTTTGAAATGGTGGCGAAAGTTATTTTTCTGGCACTCGAAATGTCTAGTGTGCATCTTTATTATATAAAATTTCACAGCGGGAAAAAACAAAAAAAACAATGACACATCTAAAGTTTGTTCAGGAATTAGTTGACGAGCTGACAAAAAACTTTCGGCAGGGGTCCAAAATTTTTGGTAGGCCATCATCTGTAGATACAGAAGAGCGGCTAAGTGGTAAATTACATATTTTACTCCAAAATGATGGAAAGAAAAAAGACTGTGCGGTATGTTCTAACCTTAAAGGCGGCAGGCGGGAAACTAGGTATATTTGTGACACTTGCACCCGTAAGCCTGGACTACACATGGGTACCATACACTACAACTTTATAGGATGTATTGTTTATATATTGTGTAGGACATATATTACTAGCGCAAAGGGTTCAATTTCTATCTATAATGCAAAATTAGCGAAATTGAAGCTAACTTTTATACGTTATAGGTGGTTGAGGTAATTTCTCATTATATTAATACATCCCGATTTTTAGGGACGTACCTGCCAAAATATGGATTGAAAATTGCTTTTTTTTGTTAATTCAGAACTTATTTATAGGCAAATAGGCTTATTTTATTTATTACCCCAAACATGCAACCGCTTCACAAAAAAATTCATGGGAAAATGTTTCAACAGTCCTCCAACAGGAAAAAAAAATTCAATTCAATTTTAACCTGGACATGACAATATTTTCATTTCAATTTAAATGTATATGTATGGAGGATGCATCGCATCGCCTCTGAAACAAACGTACATGTGGTTCTGTCTATACGAATAGATTCTGTGTTTATCTCGTACCGTAATAATCAGCAATTGCACAATTCTAATTCTATACGTAGGTGTAAGCTTATATTACGTTATCGATCGCTAATGGTATTAACCTGAAGGTCTGCCGCATTTAAAAATAAATATGCACGCATGGGAGCACGTAAGCAAATATAAATATTTTGATTGGCCCTCGGTAGTAATAGAAATGTATTTTAATAATGTGAGATCGCGAAACACATTTCAAAAGTCTCAAAAATATTGGCTAATACAATACACAAAAGCAAGATCACAGCGGACCTACTTTATGCGTAGATTCCAGATTTTCTCCACTAGATCGTTTAAGAGGATGCGAAGGAATTCCAATTATTCTTGGTCTTGGAATCCGTTGGCCGAATTATTACTCGTCCGCAATAATAAAGACATAACCATCGCATAAGTATTAAAAATTATAATTAACTCGAGTTTATGCGGCATTGAAAAGAGAAATTCAGTTTTTCAATCGTCTCTTTGCCAGCTCTCAGAATTGGTAGTATTTTTTTGATTTGAAATTTGTCGTTTCCGCATTCATTTTTCTCAAGATCCTTTTTGTATTCTGCCATTTCTTCCTTTTGCTGTATTGCAAACGAATGTTTGTCAAGTAGACATAAAAACAATTACGAAGTACTCAAAATTATCAAACATTTTGACGCCCGTTTCTAAACATATAATCAAATTAACACATGCCAGTTATTTATAGCGTATAAAGTTAAATATCCATAGTGCCTACATTATTACATAAATGGAATTTAATAATATCCGCATATTTTATTGATTACACCGAAAAAATTTGTAAACAAATTCACTAAAAAAAGGATAATAAATTGTCTACCTCCACAAACGTAAATATAATCAATTATTGTTATTTAACTTTATTTCTTATTTAATTATTTTATTATGATTATGCATTATTTCCAAACAAATGCGAAAAACTTAAGGGGATTAATTTCTTGTTTAAAATAACCAATAAAATATTGCAAAGGTATTATAAAAACACACTTGTATCATTCTTTCTAACTAAATTTAAGGGAAAACCGATGCAATGAGCTTTTTGGAAACTAAAACTAAAAATAAGCGTCGTTGTGCTTCTGATATTATATAAACGCGTTAAATATGACAGTCTACCCATACTTTCGAATCATCGATTCGTATGAGTCTATCCACGCGCTGAAACACTTGGAACGATGCCAGTATTCCAAACGATAACGATCCATATGGTTGGAAAATATTGCCCTTTTCCGTAACTTTTATTTGGTGGTATTTTCTTTTGAAATTAATACACAAAATATTTCTATCATGTATGCTTCTATGAAGAAATAATTTATCACATTAAACGTTTAAGTAGAAGTTCAAATTTTCTTTATATAGTTTCAAACCCAACTACATTATTCAATCATTTTCGCTATGGCACAATAGTAGTTTAGACGTTACTATCTATATAGGGCACATTACGCATCACTTTAAAAGCTATAAATCTATTGTTATTAAACAATACCGTACAAAAATATAACATATTTGATTACACTTAAATCTTGGGACGTAACAATTTATGTGCATAATGCTAATGTGCAATGTAAGACCAAGACGGATATATTCTGTAATTAACGGAACATATGTTGTTTCTAATGTTATAAATAACAAAATAAATACAAGAGCGTTTAAAGAGTCGTAAAAGCTCCCAACGAAAAATCAACGTCCAGTGTGCTTGTAAATGACATCATTTAGCAACGCTTACGTCACACATAGCCGTAACGAAATTTCTATTTGTGCTAATTGAAACTGGCGACATCAGTAATATTTAACTATGTTTCATAATGCGTTATTTTCACCGAATTTTTAAAGAATCTAGAAAATTATGCAAAAAATAACCGTTGTGAAGGATGTTCCACGCCTAGCTTAATTGATCTGTTATGCGATTTAATTACACGAACAAAACATATTTCTTTTAGAGCAAAATAAAAAGAAAGGGCAATCCAGAATACTACAACTAAGCATATGATGATAAAGCCAAACTTGCTTAATACAAATGTACATTTTAATTTTAAATACACAGATAATTTTGGCATAATTGACATCCGGGAATTAGTTATGGCGGGAAATCGGAATATGTAACTTAAATCCATGTAGCTCCTAGAGTGCGCTAGGTGTATCCAATAATAGAAGAAATTTAAGGAAAATTTAAATGACAGATATTTTTGTTAGTAAATGTATTCTTGCTCGATATCATCATAGTTAATCATTTTGAAGATATTTGCCGATCAAAGTTTTACCCCTGTTATTAGAATAAAAATGGCTTTGGTTTTTTTTTCACAGGCGAAGACAGTATCGTTTCACTCTAAAAGTTATATCGGCTAACTTAGTATTTCAAGTAAGGTCTGTTCTTTAAGTTTTTCTATTTGTTTTTATTTTCATTTGAAAAGATAAAAAAATAAATATTTTATTCATGCAATTGAGTGTAACTGCCCTCTAGCTGCATTTACACCATTTGATCCAAAACAATTCATTCTCTTGCGTTTTCGCATCCATCCTTTTCGTTCCCAAGCTTAATTATTGTGTAAAGAAAAGCAAATTTTGTTACATCAGCATCAAGTCAAGTTTATACTCATTATAGTAAATCAGAAACAATATCGGACCTATCACAGAACCTTGTGGATGGTAATTTTGCATTTCCTTAATTTGGATGATTTGTTAAGATAAGGTATTGTTTTCTATTAATAGGCTTTATGAGACAAACAATCAAAAGCATAATTTATTTTCAGAGTTCCAGTGTTAGGATACAAAGACTATTTATTATGCATCCATCACTTTGCCCACCAAATGTATTACCAATGTGCAGTTGTTATTTTTCATTCCATCAGTATTGGAATCAATTATTACCGCCATTTTATTTCACAGATATTGAAAATGACTTCGCCGGCGATCAACAACGGAAACGGCCAAAAAGATTCGTCGAAATCGACTTCGAGTGCAACTCTTAATCAGCCGGCATCGTCAAACGGCACTCCACAAACGTCATCTACGTCCACTCCACCGCTGACCGCTTGGTGGCGAGTTTTCAAAATGGTCAACGTGTTAACGCATCAGAATTGTTAAATAGTCATAGAAAACATGTCAAATTCGATATATCTTGTTTAAGTTCTTATTCTACTGTTCAGTAAGCGTTATGGGAACCGTTTGGTCCATCACACAGGGCGATCCATTTGAATTCAAAACACCTCTGTGAATTGCTAAAAAATAATAATTTGGCGCTATTTCATTTGATTTGCTGACGAAAATCTACAAAAATTCTTTTTTTTTCTTAATAAGCAGTTAAGAACAAATTGCTTGTTAAATAAAAGAAGGTGGGCACTTCCACAAAAACCACAGACACCATTAGCCATTAATTTTGATATATTAATAAGTACTGAAGTAACTTTTCTCACGTCCTTCGTATTTGCCGTGTTGTCAGGTTTATAATTTTTCTTCTGCCTACGTAATTTAAATTATTTTAAATTATTGTTTCCAAAGTTGATGTTCGGGAATAACTTTTCTATATACCACAATTGTGAATCAGGGGGTACTTTCAATTCGAATAGGTCAGTGTGTATGTACAAATCAAGTTAAAAAATATAATATATCAACAATAACATTATTGCTACGTTGTTGCATATTTTAATTTGGTTTAAAGTACAATATTTGGTTAGGTATTTCGTTTTAGGCAGAGCAATTATGTAATAGATTTTATTTATAATAATTAAATTTTTTTTATGGTAGAACTGCAGAAATTTGAGCAAAGATAGTCCTGATTAGCTATAGGGTAAAGTAGTATAAGCATGAAGATGATATAATTTTGTTAGCATATTTTAATGTTGTAGAATTTGTTGTGGACGTTATTATTAAATAATTGTAGTTTACATTCTATATAATCTACGCCGGACTACGACCGTATCCGATATGAGATGTTGTGTGGATCTAGTCTAAAACAAAATGAACTAAAAGGTGTGTGGTTATTTGAATAAAAAAAAATTTGAATCCACCCTCTATGAAATTAATTTTTCCTCTCCAAGCTTTTTACGGATTGCTACAGCTTTCTGTTTTTATTTTTTCTAAAAGATAATATAAAGAAAACGCACTTTATGACATGGCCAAAGTTGCCCTATTGACTCTTGGAAAGTAAATTGAATATTGAAATAAAAAAATGCGTTTTGCAAGATATAGAATATATATTTTTAGTTTTAATTTCGCCTCTAGTTCATATAACTTAAAATAATTTCCAAGAATAAAAGCGTCTAACAACCACACTTGGAATTGTTAATTATTTAGATATTGTTGGTAATGTTCACCATCTGTTTATGGAAACCTGGTGGAGAAATGTTTGCAATGCATTTTTAGCGATATTATTGGGCTATTACATAAAATTGTTAATTCCAAACGTCTTTTATTTATTTTAAAATCATGAAAGCGTTTTAGGCTATTTGATTAGAATTGAGTCGGTCGGAAAACGCCAATTACTGGACAGGACGCTCCCAGTATTATTAGACAAACAAGGAAAATGGTATGAAATTCGATAAAATATTACTTGGATGACCGCAAAGTATTGAAAATTGTTCAATTTTCTTTAGAAGATGTAAAAATTTTCAGCAAGAACAAAGATGCAAAATGAATGGGACCGAGGAAAAAACTCACCTGGTATTTAATTTGTCCTCATTTGCTTGTTTCTCTGTAGAGGACAAGGGACTCTTGGGAGATTGAGGACTTGAACTACGACCAAAAAATCTACACAGATAGATTGGGAAGAAAAAATAAAATGTCAAAGCGCGTAAAGATTGTACTTACCTTAGTTCAGATTTAGTTTTTTTCCGTTTCTTTTCCGTAATACACAGGGGACTATCAAGCGAACATGGACTTAAGCTGTCTGATAGAGATCTAAAAAACAAAAAAGTATATTAATATTTAAATCAGTTGAAGTAAAGCGAAACTCTTGAGCCACTTTATTATTCATTATTATTATTATTATTTAACATTTTATTACATGGACATCTATTTAATTCGCTTAATTTTGAGCACTTATCATTTGCAAGCTGTTTCAAATCAAAATTAATCTACTAACAAGTGAACAAGTTATATTCATAATTATAAACACAATATTTCATTTTTTACTAAATGCTCTTAACTACTGACAAAGTCTTCCGAAACTTCGTATTGTCGATTAATAAAATCTGTCGTAATAAAAATTGTCTGATGTTACTATTAGAAATGGAGAAAAGATTTTTCCGACTCTCTCGTCGCGTCGGCGAGGCAATGTGGCCGCATTTCGCACAAATATGGCAAAAAAGACTTTTATAATACAATAATATGAAAATTTTCTTATTTTTCATTTCATTTTATTTTCAAATTATTTTGATTTTACATATTACATATTACATACACATTTTGCAAGTTTATATATGTATATTTGTTGGTAGATAGGTATCATTCGGAAAATTAAAATTCATAATCATTACCAGGGAACTATTATACCACAATATTCTTAAATGTGCCGTAAAACAACGTACCTCCATCGGGTTCATCTATATTAAAAAGAAAGCACTTTAATAATCACCCTTGTTATATTTTAATCTAAAGATAATGCCAAAACAAAAATTATTGTCACAATAATATGCTCTTCACTTTGACGTATGTTTGTCAAAACAAGAGTTACTTGATTATTATTCGCAGGCAACGCCTGCTAGATATATGGAGTCTTACATCAATATGTAATTGCGCTTTTCTTCAAGTGGAAAAATCAATTCAACACATTCAATAATATTTCATTGTTATGATTAATTTTTTCCTGGAATTTTGATGATACGGATGGAGTCATAAGTCGGGTCGGAATTCATTTCCTGAACATTATTACTTTCGAAATGAAATAGAATTTTTCGAAAGTATCTCCGCTCGTATAAAAATCTTATATCTCGGTGACGGTAGGTCCTAGGGGACCGTCGTTGGTACAGAAATGATCAGCGTCGAAAATATTTTTTTTGTCTGTACGTTCTCCGTTCTCGTTTTTTGGTTTGTTCGGAATAACTTTGCAATCGTTTGGGCTACGAAATTGAGATTTACCTCCTTTTTAACCCTCCACGAGATACATAAGCCTATAAGAAATGGCCACGATCTGATGGCATCCATCTTTTTTTCGCGATTTTCGACTGTTTTTTGCATATTGCTATGAAACACGATAAGTGTCCAAAATTTGCAACTTCATAGAGGTTCAAGAGCTTTGCCCAGAAACGGAACCTATTGAAAATAAGGGGGCTGGGGTGTCGGGAACTGTTAAAAAAAAAAAAAAATTGCGTGTGCAAGGGTCAACGAAAAAAATCATTTGTCAAAAACCGTTCACAAAACCAAAAAAATTCATGGACAAAAAGACGCAGAAGATTCGGCTCCGCTCCATAACTTTTATTCTTGACAATTTTTCAAAAATGTACAGGGTGAGCCTCATATTCAATAAAACTGAAAATTAGCTATAACTTAATTTTTTTTAATTTTACCTATTGTACAGGGTGTTCGCGATATTCCGTGCAATATTAAAGAATGTTATAAGTACCCCAAATTTGCAGCTACCGACTTCAGATTTGGTAGAGAGGTCCACACCATTTAAACTAATGGAACATTCACATTCAGTATCGCGAAGTATTTTTTTTATTTGTTTTTTTGTCATTTTGGTTTAGAGAAAAAAATATTTTCTAGAAAACTATTAACTCGATCGGCAAAATTCTTTTACCAGGAGATGCAAAAGATACGGTAGCATAAGTTTCATTTTAATCGTTTCATTATAGACAAAAACCTAAAAGACCCTGAAAATTGTTTTTTTCCAGAATAAATTATTTGCCGAAAATCACAATTTATAGAAAATCTAGCTAATGGATTCAAACCAAGGCCACACCAAGAGCTGCAGTTTTTGTATTTATGGGTTTTGACTATCACGTATGCTGCTCGAGATATTTCAAAAAATCGATACGAAAATGCTATTCCTCGTGCTCAGACCAGTCGCGATGACGTCATTGACTATTACGGCGCCCTACATAGTTATAGAAAAAAAAATCTCGAAAACCATATACTCTGTTGAAAAAAATTATGGACTAAGAAACGTGAGAGATCCAGGGCTATAACCTCAGCGTGTGTTGGTGTTAGGCAAAAATTCTAACAAATCCTAAAAATTTCCGTTTTTGTGGGTAAATCCTTGGACGTAAACGTAAACTGGATCGAGAGCTACAATTTTCTGATTATGTGTGGCTGTGTATTATACATAGTGGGCGAGATAATTGAATAAAAATATGATTGTAAATCGCTATTGGTTGTAGAAATTTTTATATTTACTAAAGTTTACCATAATTTTATACAATTTATGCAAGGTTTATACACAATACAATTACATCGATTTTGCGAAAGTTCCATAGTGGTCCGCAGGAGCACGGTAAAAAAACAATGAGTTAGTTTATTTTATTTTTAAAATTTAGTCAACTTGGTAGTTGCAAGTTAGTCATAAACTTTAGCGGTTAGGTTATGTATTATGCTATTTCCGACGAAAAAATCTTACCCAAATCTCTTCACTTTGTTGATAGCTTCTTCGTCAAATAAATAACTACTGAACCCGCTCGATGTTGACGAAGAACTTTTTGGGGGCGTTAAAGGACTAGGAGAATTCGGACACGAACTGTACCTGGAACTTCCGGAACTCCACATCCTTCGAAGTCTCAAATGGAAAGGACGTGTCTGCCTTTTCGATTCGTCTAGAAGTTCTTGAGTTTCTAGACTTCGTGGCTCGTCCATAGAGTCTTGATTTTCTACGAATTGAAAATATCTATCTTGAATATTAAGCATTATAACGTTGTTTGTACCTATCTCATTTTTTATGAAAATGGCAGGTCCATCAATTGGCAAGCGTTGTCAATAATTATAGTAATTTTTTACCTTAAAAATTTATCCCATAAAAATAAAACATAATTTATACAATAATGATAACCATCTTCTCCTCTTCGTAAAATATTAGTATAAATTATATTTCATTCCAAACATAAGAGCGTTTATTTCAAGAATTCTGAACAATCCAATTAATTACAATTAATATACAATTAAAACAAATACTCGAATTTCAATTTGTTTTACTACCAAGCAAGATTTTAAAAAGACAAATTTTACATAATGTGCAAAAACTGAATTTTTGTAATATTTATGTTATTATTTTGAAACTGACTCGTATGCCGAGATTCTTTTTCAAAAATGGTTCCACAATACATATACAATATACCTTATCTGTTACGTTCCTTTACTGCCTTTGATACCGGAATATTAAGCGGGATCAAATTGGGGGTTTATTATGAAATTTCGCACGGAAAACTGTTTTGAAGTTGTCGGTTGAATCAATTAACACGCAATGAACTTGAAATTATTAGATCTCGCATTCATTAACAATTCGCGGCAAAAATACGGTATTTCCGGGCAAATGGTCTACCACTTCCTGGATCTAAAAGTCGAATTCCATGGAAGGGGCGTCGATACTTATTCGAAAATTCCGTGGCAGACTAAACTGATAAGGTTGAAAGCCAATTATATTCTTGTTATGTAATTCATGTCTGGATTTTTCGCTACCAGTTACCAGCCAGATAAACAACGATTATAAAACAGTACAAATGCTCCGAATAAACGCTTCCAATCACTCTAAACATCTAATTTTCAAAAATGTTGCTGCATAAATTTTTCAATATCACGAGTATTCTAAAAAAAAATATGCGTTGTGCAAAAAATAAATTAAATAACAAAAATTGTTCAGCATTTACTATTTTATAGTAATTCCAAATCTCGCTAAACCTAAAACTTTTCAAAATAATTTACATTTAGTGTTAAAGGTTTCCTTTTAGTTAGTGAAAAAACAGGGGTTAAAATTTGTTGATTGAAAGAATTTAAATTACGCAACTACACCCTTTTTACGTTCTAAAAACGCCCATAACCACCCTAATAAGTAAATTGCTTTAATGAAAGTAGATATTTAATGAAAGTGCAAACAAGATTAGAATATTAGGTTAATTACTACTATAAAAATTAGTTCTTCATTCATTTACTTCAATTAAATAAGTTCTATGATTAAATTAATTCGAGTATAAAAAAATTTCAAAATAGATTTAAAAGTGGAATTAATAAATAAACCAACTAAATAACTAAATAGCAGCTGATTCAAAAAATATCATGACTATTTTCAAAAAATGTGGAACGCTTCACGATTTTGCGTGTCATCCTTGCGCAGGGGCCATGCTAATCTTCTCTGTATCGTTCCAATTTTAGTATATGTACCGCCGAAGCGAGTACAATTACATGTCGGAATATATGGTATTTCTATCTAAATTTTATCGGAACGCGGCGGTGACATGTGCGAATACCTCGGAAATTTGGAATTCATTAATTTATATTAATTTGAAAAAGTATTCGAGACTGTCCTATATAGTTATACTAAACATTGTTTTTTTCATATCCCTTTTTACCTTTTTTTCAAGAAAAAGAATTTTATTTTTCGAAAAGCCTATTACCGCCATCTGGCGCCAAAAGCTACACCTACCAGGTCACCTTGCTCACCGGAGGAGGGGATCCAGACACACGAAAATAATCGAAGAATTCGCGAGTAGTTTGAATTTATTGTTGCGTGAAAATTGGTGTGGTCCCGAGAGGTGCAGATTTTTTAACTGTGATATAGGTAAGTGGAGTTAAAAAAATCTCTTATGTGTGCTTGTAATTACGATTGTACTTGTAAACCATAGTTTACATTTTCCTAAATTTTCGACAAATCGATCACCAAGGCTATTCATCGAATCGCCAAGTTACATAACTTTTGGGAGTTACTAAGTTTAGTAGGTATATTCTTTTACTCTTATATACGGAGCAATTTGATTGAAATCTTGCATTTTATTTTTTTAGTCTGATTATTTAAATAGAAATATTTCTGGAAAAACCGATTTGAGGTTACCTTGTCTAATTCAAATAGATCTGCAAACTACTCCACAATGATTTAGTTATCTGCTATTATATCACAAATTAATGAAGCATTGCAATCTCAACGCCTCTTTAAGCTTGTAACGTTCCAAGCGAGAGCGTGTCACAAGAGTGGATTTTGTCCCTTACACAATGAGATGACGTCATGTTGGGAATGTAGTACACGTGGTCTTATCTCAACACGTGCTTTTATAAAAATCGAGACGTTTCATTTTCAATCAATTAACTAAAATGTACTGTTTTGTAGTTTAATTTTATACCAAAACCATGAGTGTACCAGCTGGTGATGTTGAAAAGGGAAAGAAAGTTTTCATCCAGAGGTGCGCTCAGTGTCATACAGTGGAAGCAGGCGGGAAACATAAAACGGGGCCTAACCTTCACGGCTTGTTCGGGCGGAAAACTGGTCAAGCGGCCGGATTTGTTTACACAGATGCTAACAAGAAAAAAGGTTTGTGGTTTTAAAATATTTCTGACAAACATGAAATCTTAAAATATCGATTAATCTAAAGCTTCGCAAAGTCGTAATATGTCATACTTAACTACGTCAAATTCAAGGTTAATTTGAAAATTATCCATATTTAATGACGTCATTCTTATCTTTATTGCGGTCTTCAATAGTGCTAATTATTATCTTTAATACTTAAAATACTACGGTCCACTTTTTCCTGGCATTTTCTTTTGAATAGTTTTTTTTTGCTAAATTTTATCTTAAACTTACCTTAAAAAAAATAACCATTAATTAAACTTGTGTTGTGAGGTGCATGTTCTTTGCATTACTAACAAAAAAGAAGTCTGATGCGAGATGAGAGCTCTTTGTTGTTGAGTAACTAGAACATCAAATCGCCAAACACAATTATTAAAATTCTTGGGGGAGTTATGCAAGGCCTATAATTTTGGAATATAATTTCTAGATTACTGTAATAAGATTGTGAAATTTATTTAACTGTGGTTTTATGGGCTTTAAATTTTATTTGCTTCTATGCTTTTATTTTTTTTAGGCATTACTTGGGGTAAGGACACCCTATTTGAATACCTCGAGAACCCTAAGAAATATATACCGGGAACGAAAATGGTGTTCGCGGGGTTGAAAAAGCCCCAAGAAAGGGCTGATCTCATCGCCTATCTAGAGTCGGCCACAAAGTAAACTAAACGAATCAAATTAGTAGAAAGTTCGGAAATTACGATACCAACTACACGGCGAAAGTGATGATATAGCTTTATTATGTCGCATTTGATGTATCGTAATTTTCCATGTTCTGTATGACAATTACATTTGTATTAGTAGTATTGTTTGGGAGATTGAGGCAAGTTATTCATGTCTAATGAGTATATATGTGTACGTACAAAATAGCCCATTTTATTTTTGATTGAATGTAACTAAGTTATTAAAAAACTAAATTATTTCCCTTGTTATAAGATATCTGTACAATATGCGTTGCTTGTGTTTTGTCTTATAGAGATCAAATACATGTTAAATATGTTTATTGGTTTTATTTTTTCATTTAAATAAATAAATTCCTAAGTTCGGAGTCGCAGTTTCTGGTGATCACAAAATGATAATTACTTATATAGCTGTTTATATTTTAAAACTTTTGAATGATTTTTACCACAGGATAGCTAGATTAAATGATTTATAAATTTGCAATATAAACTGTGTGAAAGTGCAATCAGTTGTACAACAATCAATTTAAATGCTACTTGCAGTATTTGCAAATTTGTAGTTACTCCATTAGCAATAAATCAGTAAACCTGGCGACCCTGTCGCAAACATATAAGAATTATTTTGAATTGCAATTCCTACCTTCTAAAACTGAGAGGTTGACAACTACGTCAGTGATTGGAAGTAAAATCAAATACTGGTGGTATGTTTATTAGTGTTTCATGACAATGTCAACTGTGTAAATGGTCGATGCGCCATAAATAATAGATAACATTCCTGTTAAACCTTAATTGTTGGTTAGTTATACCTACTATACATTTTCAAATTTTCCTCTTTTTGAATGTTCCCAATATATAAAATTTCAGCAACCTAACAATTGACCATAGAAAACAACATATTGGTAAGTTTTGGTTATTGAGAGCAACAGTTTTGAGGAATTTCTGCGCCTGTCCCGTTCAAAGCGGGTTTCATTCGACATATGCATACGATGATATATCGCACAATACAAAAAAAATGGCTGCCAAAATGTAGTGGATTACTGTGATTCGAAATCCATGTTACTACCATAAGTAGTTGTATGCGGGGCAATAGTAAAAAACACAAATTAAAATTACGAAAATTAAAGAAATAAAAAGTACAAGCGCTATGAACCTATTTATACAATATAATTACTGAAAAAAAAATCTTTCGCCTTTCTTCTAGGCACTTTGTTCCTTAGACATCATACATCTTTGCATTCAATCTTGACATTAATATTGCAGCTCGCCAATTGAGTAACAAAATATTTAAATATATAGGGAATCTGAATTGACGAAACATTTCTACCGTGACCGCAAAACTGACACGTATCCTTTTTCTCTGACATTTGTGGCCTGTCCGCTCTCCTGGATATAATTTTGATGGGTCCTAATATGGTACCGCAAGACGTGCAAATCGAAGCCTGGAATACGACAATGTAAAAATTTGAAGCTATGAAAATAAGTCCTACCGTCGTCTTATCGGAACAATTTAAAAGCCGATCCTGCAAAAGAAATGGCGAACCATGACTGATCAATGCGTCTCGTTCCATTTCACCAAAGCGGACACCCCCGCCTCGTTTTCGACCTTTTATTGGCTGCCTCGTTGTAATATCGGTGGGACCGGTCGATCTAACCTAAAATAAATTACCACAATTAACATAGGAATATATACACAGACACTAAGTGTACCTGCCACTTGTCCGAAACCATGTGTCTGAGTCTTTGATAATGAACGATCCCAAAGAATATCTGTGCGGAAAACTCCCTCCCGTCAATACCCGAATACAACGTTTCGGTTCCGTAATAATTATAACCACCTGTAATGAAAATAACAAATTTTCGAATCCTAATGTAATACCACTGTACCAGCTTCTAATAGTTTCCCAAAATAGTCAATTGCTGTTGAAGTTTCGTTAAACTTGAATGGTGTCGCATCGTGTACCAATCCGTGCAATGCCGCCGATTTCCCTGCCATGAGTTCTATCATCATGGCGATCGTCATTCGCGACGGGAAACCATGGGGATTGAATAAAATATCTGGGATTAAACCTATAAAATGGCATTACGTTCATATTCTTAATACATACATATACATACATACATATACACATATATATATAATACACTTTCGAAACCACCATCAAATAATGTTAAGGTGTGAGCCATTCCAAACCTCGTTTTCAACTAATACGACCATTAAAATATCCGCTGGTAGTTTGATAAAATTATTTCCAAACTTTTAAAATTGCTATAATGTTAAAAATACTAATAAAAAATATAACAATTTAATATGATAAAAATAAAAGTTTGTACATTTTGAATTTTTTTTTTTTAAATACTAATCTGTTTTTTTCTTTCGACTGCATGAGCTTGTCGAGAGTGTCTTCTGCATTCTGAATCTTACCAATTTGACAATTTATAATGAATAGAAGCAAAGCCACCTAAATAATATTTTTTTTTATAAAAATGTATTTACTTATCTGGTTTTTTTCCTTCATGTGAACTTATTTTTTAAAGGATTTCAATTTTTTTTGTCAAAATGTTGCAAAAAAAGTGCCGGTTTTAAAAAGTTTTTGTCCCCACTAGGGTGATATTTGAAAAAACTAGATTATCCTAAAAAATTAATAGTTCGTTACATTAAATGCCATTTGCCAGACAAGTAAAAAAGTTTCATTTACAATTTTTCCCATAATCAGGTGACCCGGTACATAGTATTTATGATGGCCACAGGCTCCTAAACACAATAATTTTCAAAAATTAAATAAAAATTAAAAAAACAAAAAAAAAAGATAAAAACCGTCAGATCCTATGTAGAATGATCTATCTCCTGAATTCAAAAATGCAAAAAAATATAGGTTGCGCAATTTAAAATTCGAAAGTTACCATTTACTACATTTACAACCATTTACTATATATTTTCAAAAAATTGGATTTTCAGCCTATATTAACTCTAGAAAATTTAAAATCACTATTTCAGGCCATTTAAAAGTTTTAGTGTTCCCACTTTCTTGTGCCGGTATATTCCATAAATGTTATTAAAAAAGTGCATCTCCTTTTTTGTCATTGAAGAAAACAAAATTCGTTGCATTTAGGCAATTAAACTCAACAAACTGCCAGAAAAATTAATAACTAATTAATTAATAAAATAATTATTATTTTTTCAGTGCCAGTTCATAAAACCAATAAAATTATTCCTAAACTTTTAAAATTAGCATAATATTAAAAATGCTAATATAAAATATAACAATTTAATGTGATGAAAATGTTAAAAGACACTACTATTATTTTTGAATGTTTCATTTCTTTTCACTCTAGAGTTTAGTACCTTTTTTGAATAAACATTATTTTTTCATATCTGAGAATTAAATAACTGATAGTGTAAAACTGTAATTTTTTTTATTATTGTATATTAGAAATTGCTTCATTTTATCAATGAATTAATTCATACATTAAAAAACTCTTAAGCCACCATATTTTTGTCACTGTAAAGATGGTAACCTTCAAACAGTCTAATTTCTGCTTGGTTCATTAATCTATGGTTCCTTAAATCAGCTAATATATAGTCCATAAATTTTGTTACCAAAGTGCATCCTTTTGTGCCGTTGAAGAAAACAAAATTCAATTAAACTCAAAAAACTGCCAAAAAAAGTACTCATCTTTGCAACTTCTATTTTTTCAGTGGCAGTTTTTTCCTCAAACTGCTCGAAAAAAATAAGCTCTTGTGTATTCTTGAAGTTATAATAAATAAGAAATATTCTTAAGTCAATTAAATTAAAAAAGCAAAATATTCAATGGCAACTCAGATCCTATCATGTTAAATGTTCCCAGCGAGCCTCTTTTTAAACCCTACAAAAATTTTTGTTATCTAAATCGGTATTCATAGCGAGTTATCTTGAAGTATCCCCTATCCCCTTGCCCTGTTATTGTTCAGGCATCTTTGAATTAAGTTATTAATTACCTGTTTCTGTAAATGGCAAATCCTCGGACGGATATCTTAGCGAACAAATCCCTTTTTGGCCTGCTCTGCTAGCGAATTTGTCTCCAACTGATGGATTTCGCTAAAAAAAAATTACAACATAAATTTAAAAAAATCTTGAAAATATATTGTACATACTGGAACTCTGTAAGTAAAACACACCGTCTTCCTAACATTGGCTTTAAACTCTCCACAGAGCTTAACTGAGTGCAAATAACATTCTTCTTTACCTTTAAAGTACACTTTCTTGTAAATCATCCTATCAGCATCATAGTAGCAATAAAAAGGTTGACCCTCCATCATTCTCCTCCCTACAAATGGAAGACCGTCCTCGTCCATAAGCTCTGCTAATGTTGGTGCTGTAGGATCTCTAGCAAAATATGATGACTCATGGTCTAGTTCAACAAATTCTGATTTATAGATAGAGCCATGAGCAAAACCTCGCTCCTCTGAGGCTTTGTTTATAATCATTGCGTCTTCCATATCATACCCCTATAATTTACAAAATGTTTTATGAGGGTAATGAGAAAACAAAAAAACAACTAATCAAAACTTACACTATAACTGATAACAGCAACGATAGCGTTTGTACCCATTGCAAAGTCATCCAGTTTCATCAGGTCATAATGCACAGGTCTAAATAAGGGAGTTCCTGGAGTTTGTAATCTGTACAGTTTGGTTTCCGACTGGAAGTCCCAGTTGTGACAAGGACTACCCATTGTCTGCTTACCCATCTGACACTGGTACATATTACGGGGTGATTGGTTACAATCTGGCATTGGAATTAGTTGAGCCAAATTTGACAGGAATGCAGTTTTTGAAATTTCCATATGAGTTGTGATGCCTAAAATTGCAAGCCACCTGTAAGTGTTAGCAAACTTAATTGGTACTTAAATTTAAAAAAATATATATACAAATGTCGAGAAATTGAGGAATGTGATGAAGTCCGACTCTGCCCACTGCGTAAATGAATCCATCTGTTTCAAAATGTTAACAGGCAAACGGCCACGTTGCCGCATTCACATAAAAATCAATATGCCTATTTATAATGTTCAATAGCAACGGCAACAACTTAAATTGTTATTGATTTTGCTATTAGCCGTTTTGCGTAAAATCGATACACTTCAATGAACTATTCGCATTCATTTAAAACCTTATTATTACAACTGGCAACACGGCAACTGCAAATTTAGAAGGCAATTAACAAAAATAAATAATCCAAGTCTGTTCAGAATACTGGGGATGATGTACGACGTCTGGTTTCGACGTAAAAGATGCGCCAAACGCTTGATAAATAACAGGATTACACTTATTTTACAATTCCAAGAAAATTGAAGTTAATCAAAACAAGGTTATGTCGCTACCGTATTATTGAACGTGTACGGCGTGTTCGCGTCGATTCAATGATAACCAGTGCTTTCAGATCCGCCGTCAAGAACGTTTTGAAAATGACTCCAAATGTCGTTTTTGTTTTGGGAGGTCCGGGAGCTGGCAAGGGCACGATATGTCAGAAAATCTTCGAAAATTTCGGTTATGTCCACCTTTCTGCGGGCGATTTGTTGCGCGAAGAACGTAACAATCCGGGATCCCAATTCGGGGAACTTATAGAAAATTACATTAAAGAAGGAAAAATAGTACCCGTCGAGATTACATGCGGACTGCTTGAAAGGGCGATGGAGACTTCGGGAAAGGACAATTTTTTAATCGACGGCTTTCCAAGAAATAAAGACAACTTGGACGGGTGGAACAGAACCATGGCTAATAAAGTGAACTTAAAATTTGTGTTATTTTTTGAATGCCCGGAAGAAGTATGCCTGCAACGTTGCTTGAAGAGAGGCGCTACAAGCGGGCGCGTTGATGATAATGTGGAGAGTTTAAAAAAGAGGTTCAATACTTATATATCCGAGACTAAACCTATAATTGAACACTACGCGAATCTTAATCTAGTAAAAACAGTAGATGGATCTAAATCCAAAGATGAAGTATTCAATGAAGTAAAGTCTCTTTTTCAAACTGAAGGCGGTGATCACTAAACAGGTAGCTCCATTCCTAATTGAAGCAGTATGTACTTCAAGTTCAATGAAATAGGATTATATGGTGCCCCACATACTTAAATATGTTCCCTAATATAAAATTTTGTGTTCCTTTTATGATGTAAAAAATGTGATTTCTAAAATAGTTGGCAATTAAGGATAAATATTGTTTAGAAAATAAAATAATTTTTCTTTTTTCATTTAATGGTTTTAAATAGAGCTTTACAATTAAACTATCATTTCTGACAATGCATGTAAGGTGCAGTGACTTTCACGTTTGAATCAGGTTCAGGCAATAATTGACCTTTACATTTGTTATTTGAAAGCATTAATGAAGTGAAAGGAAAGTCAATATATTTGTTGTAATACTTTATAAAAATGCAATATTTTGGAAAAAAAGCATTAAAAAGTTAATAAAAGCTGAGTTTTATTCTCTTATTTTTTAATTACTCTATTGACTTGAGTACTTCCTTTTTAGAAGTTTATGACAGAATTTTTAATTGTTATATATTTTTGCATATTTCACAGTGAATTAATGACCTTTACAAACTTACCTTTATAAGCTTCTTCAAGGGTAATACAGATATTCAAATAGACCTGCTCAAAGGTCCCAATCAATTCAACCTCGTTCACTTTTAAATTTAACACTGGCCTCATCATTCGAGCAGGTCCTGTAAACAAGAATATCCCTGGATACTGGGCCTTGGTGTCTTTCATTGGAATCAAGACAATCTCCAAGCTATCAGGTACCTGTTCACCTTTGATCTTAATCAATCTTAATTGATTGACAATGACTTGTGCTCTATTCTTTTGGACATAGCCTAAAAATAAGCTATTTTAGTATTATTTTTCTTTAAATCGAGCAATTAATGGGTTATACCTATAACCTTGCCATCTAATTGTACTATGTAGGTATCCTTCAAGTTTGTGTTTTTGTTAATGTTTCTCGCTGGCAACATGCCCATTTCAGTCAATATCAATGGTATTTTATTAACCTTTACTTGGTCAGCAACATCCGTTATTATACAGTTCATTGCCAAATGATTAAGCAACCCACAAGGAGCTCCATCTGGGGTATGAACAGGGCAAATAAATCCCCAGGCATCTGGCAAAAGCTGTCTCGCCTCAGTTGTTCTCATTTCTTGAAAAAATGACCCTCTAAAATTATTCTTTAAAGCAAAATGGTCAAATTTTCACTAGTACCCTACCTGTGAACTGCTCGAAAATGTGACATATACCTCATTCTATTAATATTTTCAGCAATTACAGCTAAGCCCTTGTCTTGCATTAAACCTAAACCTGAAGGACTCTGTAAGTTCCCAGTGGCCAAAAATAATTTTAAAGCATGTTCAAATGAGCCAGTTACTTTTGCTGCCCTCAAAATGTCAGACTGAGAATAGCTAAATTTGTTGCTCTTATTGAGGCCTAGAATATTAATTCTCAATGAATTTAGCCACATTTGCATTTTTTCCTTTAAAATTTGAAGATACAAATGGCCCCCTGAAATTACTTAATACATTTTTTTTTGTTGTTTTGTTGTTTTCTAATCTTACCTTGCAGTACCTCTTGCATCATAACTGCATCAGCTCCTTCGACTTTACACTTATCCCTGGCGAAAACAAATAATTTCTGGGTCATGAAGACTAATAGGTTCCACTTATCTTCAGTATTCTCTAAATGTATAAGAACACACTTTTTCAGGACAAATTCGGCAACTTCTTCATCTGTAAACCATTCTGGACATTCATAAAATCTTACTCTGAACATTTTTCCTAAATATGATTTACAGTCCTTATGAGTATGGAGGTTTTCCATGTGAAGTTGCTTTAGCATCTCTTGAATACAACTAAAATTTATATTTATTCATTTAGTAAACTATTTTATTATTTATTATTAATTTTACTAACTCTACATAGTAAACATCATCTTCAAAACCTTGGACAAGCCTCTGGTAAGTGTAATAGTCAGTATAATCACTTAAACATTTTAGAATCAGGCACAATGGAACATAATACAACATTTTTTGGTAGCTAAACATGAGCTTGGCAGTGCCGTCAGTTACAAAATGCAAAACATTGTTCTAAAATGAAAAATCAATAGCAAATTTTTTATAATGCTACAAGCAATAAACCTACAGTTGATGTTTGATCTTCTGTAACGGATCTGATTGATATACCAAGATCAGAGAATAAAGTACCTCTCCCTTTCCATCCCGATCTTCTAATAGCTATAGGATAATTCCTTCTAGTTAACAGTAACATCCTTATTATCTTTTCAAGGCCTGAAACAACAAAATATCCACCCCATTCTTGCTCATGTTCACCATGTTCAACTAATTTTTGTGGCTTCAGCTTCTCTAAATTGCAACGATTTGACTGTAACAATTGAAAATAAGATTGGCAACGACATCACTACGAATTACCTTTAACATTATAGGAATATTTCCTAACTCCTTCTGAAAAGGTTGCTGTGGTCGATCATCTAGATACCATTCCACATCTATTATAAATTTTCCTGCATAAGTTGAGTTGCGCTGCCTGCACTCTGTCGGGTAGATAAGACCATTTTTCACACCAATAGTACCAAATGGTACTTGTGGATTGCTCAGGCTACAACCAGTGATAATTAGCTTAATTTTTTTATCGTCTACCATAAATTCGACTGGAACTAGGTTTTTTATAGCTTGATCTAAACCTTGGTTAACCATGTAATTAAAGCTAGCTACATGGGGCTGTCCCAATTTGGTAAGCATCTAAACATAACCTAGGATTAGCACATGTATAAATAAACCACAATTACCGAGTTTGCTTACTTCATCTTGAATTTTCGGAGGTCTTCCAAAGTAGGGATTTGTAATATAATTTAATGAAGGATGATCCATAATAATACAGAAGTATACCATCAAATTAACTAGGTTAATGTCTTCCAATCCCTCTTTTTATCCATGCCCCTCTTACAAATTCTAAACGAAGTTTCTCCTCTTTTCAATTTTGGGGCTCAATAACAAACGTCGCTTGAGTAAGAAATGATGTTTTTATATTTATCAAATAAATTCTATATGGTAGATAATTTTTGAATTATTGCGGAACACCCTAATCCTGTAAAACAATTTGTAAATCACATTTAAATTAAGGTTGCCAATATAAAAATCTTTACACGTTCTTTACAAACACCCCCGACAATAGGTAAATAGGCAAATAAATCATGAACGTCCGTAAGTTCCCAAGAATGCTCCACGAAAAGGTTATTATTGACTTCCTGATATGTGGGTATAGAAATGCTCCCAATTTAACTATTTATGTTATTTTAAGAAGTCATTTTTTCAATTTCAAATCTCATTCAAAAATCATTGCATGAAATTAAATTATTTTAATCTACATTTATTTACATTAATCCGCTCATCTATCTGGGAAACCATTAAATATACATAATGTTTATTAGGCCTTTTCCAAAGAAATGAGCAAAGAGAGAGCAAAAAATCAATACCTGCAAAACATCAGCTGATAAATATGTAGGTACCTTATTTGGGAAAAGTGCGTAGGATTCGTTTTTATTGCGATAACGTAGTTCAATTTGAATTATCTAATAATATTTGACAGTGTCCACTCAATTTCAATTTCCCCTTGATAGAAGGGCAATATCTAATTAAAAGCTACATTCGCGTAAGTATGTTCAACTATCTCGTGTTAAATAAATTTCAAGTAATGTTATTGAACGTTAAGGCTGAAATATTTTGTAGGTAATATAAGTATGAAAAATCCGAGCGAAAACAATTTTTTTTAAGTATGTATAAGGTCGCCAAAAATTTATACTTTTTTTAGTTTGCACGTAGAAAATAATATGTCCCAATTGAGTAGAGGATATTCGTGCAGCTCAAATAACGATTCTTTCGATTTTACTGCATTACAATTTGCTGCACGCAGGGGATCAATCGAACAAGTAAGGTAAATTAATATTGACTAATTTATTATATACCTATACATTATATTGACTAACAAAATAATTTTTTTTCTCGCCGAATAAATAATAAAGCATGGTTCTTATATTCGCACCAGAGAAACTGAGCTCATTTTATACCCTATGAAAACGTAAATACCTAATTAATTTCTAGATATTTAGTGGAATGCGGCACTGAACTGGACACAGGACCGGATCCAGCATTGCACCTGGCCCTGAGGCAATCTCACACCGAAATCGCAAAAGTTTTGCTGCTAGCTGGGGCCAATTTCGAGATCGCAGATTCTGTAAGCAACATATTCCTATGATATTGTCTATAGTTGGTTAGCAAAAATCTTCCAGCGCGGGGAATACCCCATTCACATAGCTTGCGCCCTAGGTTTATTGGACGTCGTGCAACTACTATGCCTTCTAGGCTGTAGCGTCGAATTGCCGACAACTAAAGGACTTTATCCGCTTCATTTGGCTGCCAAAAACGGGCATATTTCAGTTGTTAGGTAAGCAAATAACATGAATTGAATATTGAACATTTTGGCAGTTCAATTGTTTCGTTTACCTATTAAAAATGCCGCCAATCAATATTATTTGTTTCTTTCTAAAACTAGTGTTACAAGTTTTCACTTATCAATCCGCTTTTTACCGTGAAGTATAATAAATGTAAACTTTGTTTTGTTTACCTATCATTCCAAAAATTACCATTCTCAAATTTCAAATTTTAAATTAAGAATTTAAACACAAATCGGTGTCAGAAATAACCTTAGTCGCATGTTAAAGCAAACTAATGAAAGTAGAATTAGATATACTCACCCATTATTGTTGAATTATGAGCACGCACTGGACAAATTGGCGAAAGCAAGACAAAGTTTTTCGAATAGAATTTGGAATGTTATGTATTGAATTTTGCCAAATTGGTGGAAGCTCAGATCGCTGATAAAGTCGTCTATCGGGAATCATTATTGGGAGTTCGAAAATGCGTTAACATGGGTGGTAAACAAGTTCTCCAGTTTACTACCGTGGGAAAAAGCTGCTAAAAATGTCCGCGGACTTGTCCGGGGCTTGTACAGTTCAAGAAAAAGGGTTCAGTGTTTAACTTCATATACAGGGTTTTTATAAATTACATTAAAAACTTATAAACAGGTGTTCTATTCTATCCTGATTTTTCTAAAAAAAAAAACTTTTGCTTGCTTGCTTGTTTCCTCGAATAAAAGTAACAAAACTGTCCCCAGTCCATTTATCACCAATTTCAACACCATATGTGACTTTTTCAAGTTCTTCATAGAAAACTGTAAAATCTCCATTATCCAAATCAAAGGTCTGCGCTCCATTGTCGAAGTAAAATTTCTTCATTTTAATTCCACAATAATCTGTTAAATTTAAGAAAATTCGAAACCAAACTCATGTATAAAATAAATCAAGCAACAACTTGCTTCAGGCAGTTCTCTGAATGGCGAAAGTTGGATGACATATTTAACCACTAGCGCTTCGACGGAATGATTTTTGTTGGAGGCTTTCATTATCACCTCTTGAATTCAATGATTCGTCCTCTAAATCTAGTCAACCATTGCCACTGTGTGATAAAATAAGGCGTATTGGCAATATTCGTAAATTGAAATTTTCTGAAAATGTACGGGGATATACCTAGAGATGCAGAAAATACTGCTGTTCACTTTCTCGGGTAAATACATATTGAATTAGGCAGTCGCCTCGTTTTAGATGCCTTTGCGCAGCTGGCTGCAATATCGACGTGCGAAACGCCGACAATATTCGAGCCGACATAACTGCTGTAAAGTACGGTCACAACGATATCGCGGAACTTTTAGATCGTCTGAGAAATTCTGGCCAACGAGATGCCTTTACTAGGCAATTGGTGCCAACCTCCAGACCCGCATTGAGGATATCGCTGAGATTGCTAGGACATTGCGGCGTCGGAAAAACCGCAATGGCTAAATCGTTGGGGGCAGGGCTATTTAGCTCGCTCTTTCGAAGGTCCAGCTCGCTGCAAAGTAGTAAATGTAGGTAAAATATTGCAATCTTCGATCTAGCGGCAACCTTCAGCATTTTCAGCAAGACCTTCTTCCCCAATCAACACCCAAATAGAAATGGATGTCACCTCTAGGCAGAATTCGATCACGTTTGAAACTCCACCAAATTATCATTCGACGAGTGGCATTCATGTACAAACTGTGAGTTAAGGGATAGAGGGGGCGAGGTTAAAATGATTCTAAGAGGGAAATGATCTCTGCTTGAATAATACTATACCGCAATTTGTTAAATAAACGATCAAATATGCCCTAGCCCTAGAGTAGTATCAAACCTCAGCTTATAAGCAAATCGGCTGATGTTCTTGACTAATAAATTGTGTTTTGTGTCCAATCTGGTATGTTTTATCGAACTATCATGTAGTATTAAATATTTAGGAGGCAAAGCAACAAGTAAATAGGTAAAAGTGAACTGGTAGTAGCATTAGAAGTCGCGAAGCAGACGTATAAAGCAGACCATAGACGTTGGATATATCCTTCTGCAGGTATCAACAATCTTACGTTTGAAGAACAATTTTGTTTGATAGTATATCGCTGAAAAAATGCTAATTTATACCTTCGTGGAATCATTGTACCCCAATATCTCCTAGCAATCTACTGGGAGTGTGTCATAATAGGGGTAATCGATTTTTATAGTTGGACGTATCCAGTGTGGGAGACGTTATAGTCTGGGATTTCTCAGGTCAGGAATGTTATTTTCCGGTTTATCATCATTTTCTGTGGCCTTCCCCGTACGCAATCACGGCGATTTTGTTCAGTTTGGACGAGCCGTCGTCTGTGCAAGTCCAGCAAGTCAGTTTCTGGTTAAATTTCGTCCTAGCGAGGCAACCGGCCGAGCTGCCAACTTGTAAGTTGCGGATTCCATATTTTGTTTTCAATCATTAACTTGTGGAAATGGGTTTTTACCAATTAGAAAAGATATTTTGATTTAGTTGGGACGCATAGAGAAGGCTTAAATTTCATGTCGGAGAAAACCAAGAAATTATAGACTGGTTAACCATAAAAAATATTCATTTTGAAGATAATTTGATAAAGAATTAACTAGTATATACCGGGTGATACAAGAAAGTAGGAAACGGCTTGAGATAGCGATTTGAAATTTGGAAGGCATAATATAGGTTGAATGTCCAATTTTTTGATAATATGTAGTCAATGGTTACACTTTCAGTTTGAGCGGAAAGGACAGTAACTTTCGAATTTTAAATGGCACAACCCATATTTTTTGCATTTTTGGATAGGATAGGATAGTTTTTCTCTTTTTTTTTTAAATCTTTATTTAAATGAAACTTTTCTTTACTAGTCTAATGGCAACTAGCATTTAAGGTAATGAACTATTAATTTTTTAGAATAGCTTAGTTTTTTCAAATAGCACCCTAGCGGGAACAAACCTGTACATTTTTTGCAACATTGCGCAAATTTTCTAAATCCGTTAAAAATGAGCTCACAGGAAGGAAACAACCAGATAAGTAAATACATTTTTATAAAAATAAAATATTACTTAGGTGGCTTTGCTTGTATTCATCATTAAGTCGGCATGATTGAAAATTCTGACTGATTGTACATTTTTATCTGATTATCGATTTTGTCGTGTTATCGATTTGGATTATCATGGTAAATATTGTTTATGATGGTCACAGCCTACTAGACACAATTTTCAAAAATTAAATACAATTTTAAAAAACAAAAAAAAGAGAGAAAAACCATCCTATCCTACGTAGAATGATCTGCTGAATCCAAAATTGCAAAAAATATAGGTTGTGCCATTTAAAATTCGAAAGTCAAAAAATTGGACGTTCAGCCTATATTAACCCCAATTTCAAATCGCTCTCTCAAGTCGTTTAAAAGTTATAGAGTGATCCCACTTTTTTGTGTCATCCGGTATAGTCAATTCACAAACGCACAGATAACGAGACATATGTTTTTTATAATATAATTTCTGCAGTTCCAGAATTAAATCAGAGAAAAATTAGATTTTTTGGAAGGGTTTAGACACCCTTTTTATAAAATAATTACGTGCCATTTTTGAACATCTTCGTAATACAGGCAGCGGATTGAAAAAGCAAAAATAAATATTTAGAAATATCTGTATTTCTATTGCTACATTTTTAAAAAAGACCCTGCACAAATGTTTATCTTTTGATATTATGAAATATCTATTAAATGATTTTTTCAAAACAGACACCCTATATGTGGATAGCTAAAAAAGATATAAGAATGCGAACTGGGTACAGTAGATATAATTCACATTTTAATTGGTATAAAATCATATAGATATAACGAATCATGACAAACCACCTCAAGCTTTCATGGTCCATCTTTAGAGAATTATTGTTTCCAAATCCCACACGCATATTTAAGAAGGGCTCTAGTTACTAGACATTCGTACTTCCTACTAAAGGTGAATTCGGCCAAATAGTGTTAGTTGCCACTCACGTGGATCTCACGAGAGCCGTGAAAGCTCCAAACGGAGACTGGATCTCACCGGATGCTCAAAATACATTAGAAACCGTTAAGAAGCTACTACCTCATATACCTAATTTAATGGACGTCGTTGTTGTCATGGATGCGAACGTACCCGCCTCTCATGCATTTAAGCACTTTAAAACCATCTTGGCTAACGTGAAACAGGAATGTATTCAGGTACTTTTTGCGATTGCATTCGAAGCAAAAATTATGCCAAAATTTTAGCAAACAATTGGGACGTGGACCGGATTACTCGAACATAGCTTGACCTGGTTGGCCACGTTAAGGCACGATTACCAACAATTCCCTGTAGTTACTAAACGGGATTTTTCGGATTTACTATGGAACCAAATCAATTTACTCGCATCGGAGGATCATATTGAGGAACTTCTACGCCAGCTTCATATTATGGGAGAGGTGGCCTCCATGATATGACATTCCGGCTTATGATATAATATCTCTTTAGGTCTACTGTATAGAACATCTCGTCGTGCTCGCGGTTCCTTGGCTGGGATGTCACTTGCTGGGTGAATTGTTGTCGAACCAATTCATTTCGCACGCAAGAGTAACAGGGGTTTATACTGCTGAAGACTTCCAGGCTACTTTTAACGAATGCGATTCATCTGAAGTGCTTGAACTACTCGAAGCATTGCATTTATGTATACACGTAAGTTGGTATATTCTAGACCAATAGTTAATAACTGGCTGTGGTCATAGTTGTAATCCGCTTTTCACTAAATTTTATTATGTATACTTCTGCATTTTAAATTTAAATTTAAATGCAGTTTTCATAAAGTTCCTTAAAAAAACTTAATTCTCTTTTAATCTCGGTCGGGCACTTGTGTTATAGTTTTGAATCCACCAATCTAAACATTTACCAAACCTATTTTGGAGGCAATTAGCCAGTAATTTGTACGTAAACAGAGAGATGTAGGGTCTTAATCTATCAATATTTGAATGGTTGAGAAATTAACTTTAGAGTAATGGGTTTTAAAGAAAGTTTGTTATAGTCAAAATATGTAAGCGGTGTGTTCAAAAAGTAAGGTGACTTTTGTAATTGATACACATCCCCCTAACATATGTTCACAGTTTCAACTAAATTTGCACGTTTACTTTTTTGGGTGAGACAGAAGGATAAGACGTGTTTTCCGTACTTGGCGATTTTCTGCTGAAAAATAAATGGAACAAAGAATTTGCATAAATTTTTGTGTAAAAAATAGAATACAGTGCTGCAAAGACCCTTGAAATGTTTACAACGGCATATGGTGACTCTTTTTTGAGCAAAAAAATGTTTATAAGTGGTACAAACTGTTCCAATATAGCTGATACGAAGATAATATCCGGAAACGTGGGAAAACAATTAATGAATTGCATTACGATAATCCATCTCGTTACCAGTGTCTAACTTTTTGGCCAAAATCAAAACCATAGTCATGTCTCAGCCGCCATATTTACCGGATATGGCCCCCTGCGACTTTTTCCTGTTCCCGAAAATCAATAAAACCATGAAGGGAAGGAGGTTTGGAATGATTGAGGAGATAAAAACAATCGCTGGAAGAACTCAAGGCTTTACCACAAAGTGCTTCCAGGATTGGAAAAAACGTGGGCGCAAGTGTATTATATCTGTCTTACTTTGAAAGGGACAGGATAAATATATACTAACCAAAACTTAAACATCATCTTACCTTTTAAACACACCTCGTATGTAAACAGTGTCTCCAAGTAAGAAGTCGAAATCTTACCTATGTAATTAAACAGAAAAAGAATTTGAATGTATAGTCGAATATTCGGTGTGCTCAGTGAAGTAAGTGTAGAAAACTACCTGTCCGATTTTCGAATCTTCGCTTATCGATTAGTAGATGGCGCAGCGCTTAGGTTTTTTGTATACCGTGGTCTATTTGCCGTATGGTATATTTTAACATTGATAAATTTTGGCATTTGTTATAATTAGTTTCGGTTAATTTTAGGATTATCTTCGTGTTCCCATATTAACGAATAAAATGTGTGCAATAATGTTTAAATATTAAATAAAAATTAAAATGATTAATTTATCTCTAAAACTGGAATATTTTATCGAAATTGAGTAAAAAATATACGATTCTACTCTATTTCTGCCTCCTTGGCAATATATAATAGAAATAATTATAAAAGGTTTAAAATTTAAATTTTGAAAAAAAAAGAACACCATAGAGAGATTTATAGATATTTGCCAAACGCATTGTATTTGAGGGCTCTCCAATTGCCGGCTCTAGGTCTCGGTTACCCTTGGTTTGGACCCAAAATTGTTTTTAAAAACAGAGACAATAGGATTTTAATCGTAGTGTGATATCGAAGACGAGGTCGAATACGAGTTTCCAATATACAATCAAACCGAAACCATAAGCGGTTTATGGGACCCAAAGGATCCGAGATACTCATCCAGGCATTCCGTATATGGAGGTATCAGACTTTATACATCGGCAGGGATTTTGCACCCGTTCAAGTCAATTTTCACGCACATACAGGTAGCATAATTCTCTATAATCTCCATAATCATATTTGTATAACTAACCCGACCGTTGCAAAAGATCGAATTGAGGAAAACCCAACTCACTTCACCGACGTACAGCGATTGCGATCTCTACCAGTGGAACTCGGGTTCGAAAATGTGCAAGTTAGATTTGGAAAGTTTAATTACCTTACAAGAAGGCAACGACGGTATTCATTTCATAGAAATTAAGATCCGAGGACCAAGCCGGTCGTCTCGATCTTGTTTCTACTTCTTGCGGTTAATTTTACAAGATATCGAGAGGGTGAGTTGTAATGGACGACTAACCAATACCAAGTGAGATCAATTGTGGTATAGGTTACATCCAAAGTGTGTCCCGGTTTGCTGACGGAACTCCACCTCCTAAGTCCGGAGGAATTGAAAATCCATTCGGACGACCCTTATTGTTACCCGCCTCAAGTCTTTGCGTCTGCCATGTTGGAGGCCGAGTCCACCCTGGATGTGGTGCTGTATAACGAAAATTTGGATAGTTACGAGTCTGTAGTTGAAATAGTTATGTTTGGTAATAAAGTTGAATTTAAATGGAAGGCACCTCCAGTGTAAACTATTTCAGGCGATATGGATTTGGCTAAGCATATTCAATGGGGTTGCGTTCTAAGCATAAGCGCGCTACCAGGTCCCGTTAAGTTAAGATTATGCGGGTTGTTGGACCCTCCGGAACCTCACGGACGAGACTGGTGTTTGCTCGCACTCCGCTTGGGATTGTGCGAGAAGAAATTGGCTGCATTAGACTCGTTACATTCCAGTCACACCATGAGACTGTTGACCACTGCTAAGTGCACTATAGGTTTGTCTCTGAGAAACTAGTACCATTTTTGTTCTATTTCCTTGTTTATTTCATTGTAAAATTCAGTGAATATCTGTTTGAATAATGCGTAAAAAAGGCTATTATTTAGTAACTTAATTTAATTTAAGGAAAAATCTTATTAGAGTATAAATAATAATAATAAATGATTTTTTCAGAAGTACCCCTACTACACATTGGTGCAGTTTTTTTACTTTTTATTATTCATAAATTAATGGTTTAACACTCTGGATTGCTGTTTTTGTTGAAGTTTGGTACCTCGGTATCGGTATAAGTATATTGTTTTAGTAATACTAAGATACTTTCACTCTACCTAGAATAATATTATTAAGTGCAGTGGCGTCTAGGAAGGGATGTTAATTAAAATTTTGGGTTGAAAAAATAAGCGTTATCAATTTTATTTCAAGTTTACAAATCTAACAAGCAAATATATTTATGGAGCTTTTATGTAGGCATCTTTTTTTAGGAAAACCATTGATTTAATGATAAATAATACATTAATTTTTATAGTAATTTCTAAGAGTAGGATAGAATAGAGTGAATTTAATTTATTATTGTTTTCCTATAAGAACACCCCACAAAAAATATTTTTACTTTTGAAAAATGACTTTTTCAAAACTTTGCAGTATTTTGCAAACGAAGCATATTACTACTGCTTATTATGTCTCCACGGCTTTTTATATTGTGAAATTTAGTAGTGCGCATCTGCAGCAAGCGGCACTTCTTTTTCATTTCTACATTAACTCAATGAAACACAAAAAAATGGGATAAACATTTAGTTAAGCTGGTTTTGAAGACCAATAACTTATTTTAAGTCAACAAACATTGATTTATTTGCCAGTGTAGCGAAATATAGCAGTTTTTATTTAATTATTTTAATGTATAACGACTGGACTATCCAGCCAAAATATTGAGCTGCAAAAATTTCAATTTTCTTTATGGGATATAATTAGCTGACGGACGCCATTGGTTAAAATTAAGAAAAGTGTTCTCTACCTTAAAATGTATTTTGACGTAAGAAATGCATCTACCAAATTTCGCAAAACCTACAATCGTTATCTAATATATAAAAAAGATTTCAGCAATTGTCATATGAATAAATAAAATTTCGTGAAAATCTTTTAGTTCTTATTTATTTATTTTCCGAGAATTGTCGCCCCTTTCAGTATTGACGCATAAAAACACTTTGTATATACATGTTTCGTCTTAGAATTACTTAAACGATCACCCGTTCAAATAGGTACTTAAATATCAATAATGTGCCTCTCTATGATAGTGCCTAATTTAAAAGTTTTCACCGCTTAAGAATTTAGTGCGTACATACGTGTGAACTGCGAGCCTAAATTAAAATACTCTATTCTGTGTAGGATGCCTAATTTCGAGTTTGCATGAGTTAGATCGTCAGGATGCCGCCGATTTTCTTCTACGCTCCGCCCCTATTTATAAGATAATCGTAGAGCATGCCGATGAAATTTAGTCGTAGATTTTCGCGCACATAGCCTGTTATTTATTTCCAATTTTGAAGTGTTGTATCAATTCTTAATACTCGACCAGTTTTAGCCATTATTACGTGAGGTTCATATTTGGTTTATTTTTTTTTAAATAACAAACCAAAAAGTTCTTCCAAGTGTGACCGAAAAGTAGATATATAATACATTTTAAAGGAGCTGTAGTGTTAGTTGACCTAAAGTGCATCAAATTTTAGAGATTCGTACTCTCCAGATTCGTTCTAGTGTTGTTAGCGTACTTAGTCAAATATTTACCGAATAAAGATCAAAGTTATCAAAACTTTTTTAAATACAGATTGCATAACATCAAAACATTTTAAAAATGGTTTTAATTATACAGATAGTTTTATAAAAACGTATGCAAAAATATTATGCATGATGTTGAATTTATCTTTTTTGCTATGATTTTATATTGTGTCATTGAATATATTTTTTATGTACCTTTCGAATTTCTTTTCTTGGCGAAACCTGCTAAGGAAATAATTTTTCATCCAGTCTCGTTATCATAAAAAAAATTCCAACTTGGTTTTATTTGTCCTACACTTCAGAAGAATGATTGTAACAAGCATCCAGAATATTTAGGTTTTTAAGGTTATATTTGACTAAATCTTAATTCTCAAAACTATGCCTTATCATCAAATACAATTTTATTTATTATTTCCCCCTAATAAGAGAGTTAAAAAATTATTAAGTGGTTACATCGCCAATTTTAAAAGGCCAAATAGTTTTGAGAACGCTGCTTAACACTTGGGCTGTGGACACAATAGTATTTCTAGTTTAGTTGAATATAGATCTAGAATAACTAAATATGTAGCTATACATTATTATTTATAAAAATTCAATATAATGCTTCTGACTCCGAATAACATTCAAGATTTAAACTTTTTTCCATTGCTTAATCGCCATTTACAATTAGAATATCTTCCTCACTACTCAAGTTATATCTGTAATATAGAAAAAATATTAATGTGATCAAGTTTTTCAAGCTACAGTGCCAACATTCGATTCGTACTGTAGGTGAGTAAATTATCTCGTAGAACGGCCACATCCTGGTTTTTTGTCAGACATTCTTTTACAAAATTTCGTAAAAAGTTTGAAAATTTTTACACATTGTCAAAAATCGTTTCGGAATTCACACGTTTTTAGTTAATTTCTTTAAAAAAAAAGTGGTTAGCTGTATTGTAAATTCAAAAAAAGTATGAATTTCATATCCAGCATTTTTTTTACAATAAAACTGAGAATTACCTTTTTTAAAATCGAATTAAAAAAATAAAGGATAGCCTTTCTACGCTTACAAACTAACCAAATTGCTCAAAAATACCTCAATTTTCGAATATCAAAACTGAATTACACCGATTAATTCGATTGTTTAATAATAAGACACATCGAAAAATTTAACCTTGACTGATTTTTCTTCCACTATTTAAAAAACAATTGTTGTACGCGCTTATTCAATTCTTTGTGCGAATCAACCAAATTAAGATTGCTCATCGCACAACGAAATATTTTGTGATTATTGTATACTTTAATATTATGTATTTCCCTATATTTACACTAATAAATACAGTTCGCAGGTGCAGTTGAATGTATTAAATATGTTTTAAGTCGTATTTTACAAATGTTTATTAGCGTCTGTTGGGACCCAATTTTATTACGGAAATAAAGCAAATGCATAAAGTTGGAATGCGTTTTCTTGGAAACGAGCGACTATAATATATTAAGCTAGGAACAATATGGCGATTTTATTAGCTGCAGTCGAAACGACCAACATGAAATTGTTATTGCTTTTTGTTTTGTGGTGGTGCCTCTCTGTGTTCTCAAATATCTGACTGACTGATTTAATTTTTATATTTAATGCGGGCGATGGAAATTTGGTGAACTTGAGAAAACCTGTGATTCACAACCCAAAACTGCATTTAATATTTTACACTTTACACTTTTTTTGGCATGCGATTTTACAATTTTGGGTACTCAAAAGAATGATCAATTAAATTGGTTTATGAGACTAAAAAAAGTTAATTTTTCTTTAACATACATCAAGAAAAATTAACACCTCCCAGGCTATTCTGAAAGTCTGGGAAATATCTTTCCGACGGCGTATTTCTTTTATTTAAAAAAGTATGAAATGTTTGAAACAAAACAAATTAAAAACGTCAGAGGAAATTGTTATTAAGTCAGAAGTGAAATTAGTTTTTGTTTTCATATCACAGTTAATGTTGTTTGCTACATTTATCGTAAATAGAGTTCTTTGTTTGTGTTTTATTGAAGTTGTAAAACCTTGTATACAACGTAAACGTCTCATAGAACAAATGAAAAAAAAATTGTATGTAAGGACGACTCTTTATGTTATAGCAACCTAAGTAACTTTTGTCCGAACGAAGTCTCTTTAAACTTGTGAACATAATATGCCCACGCCACTGACGGAAATATCCGACCAAAAATTAAAGGAACTATTAAACTGCCATTCATTATTTTAAGGAAAATATTGTTCATATAAAAATCCGTTAGCTCAAGGTGAGTAACTTCTTGTTAAATGCCTACCTCAATTATAGTTACGTGGTTGTGTACGCGTATCCTTGACCAGAGATAATCTCTTTCAAAAACAACAGGACGCAGTGGGTTTACCAGCCTTGCCAAATTTAATTATTTATTTAATGGAAGTTGATAATTTTACACATTTTGAAAGTAGATATATCGCGTTCGTACTTCTATTAATTCGTATTTTAATAAAATTGTGCACCTGTGTAGACTGGTGTATTGAAACTAGTTAAAATATTTTCCGCCAGAGAGATGTCATTCTGCATAACCTGAACATTGTGATTACTAATGCTAAATTTTTAATATTCCATTTTGATTTTTGTCACTCGTCTCTTATATCAGTAGAATTTAATCTTATTCGATAAAAATGACAAATCTTCTACTGCCTTGAACGAGCCCGATCTACTTAGGGCCAAACTGATATACTTGATATACTGATAACTTCCTTGTTTTAAAAATTATTTGTTAAACCAATGACAAATTTTGAATAATTTAACGTTTCATTGCACCTTTATAACAATTTATTACCGCATTACTGCCATAAATAAAACATTCATTAGGTTGTTAACATATTTACAGCTTTAATTGACGCGTACTTCATAAAAAGACTAATTTTTCACAGTGTACTCAAAAAAAGCTACAGTTGCATTTCATTTTCTAAAATGTTAAAATTGTAATTAGACGGCAATAATTCAAAAGTACTTTCCCTAAAAAAATAAGTTTTATTCCACAACATTACCATTTCCCCGAACTTGAACACTGACGAAATAATCGCGTTTTTAGTAACACGTGTCACAGATAAGGACTCATACATGTAGGAGTGACTAGAACGTTTTCACGAACCCGGGGGTTCTTCATTTCTGAGTAAAACAAGTCGTAACCGCATCAACCGCATGGATTTTTGTTTTTACCACTCTCTTTTACGCAGAACTCGGTTGTCGCCCACTCAATTATATGTATGTTTTCGATTACATTTTAAAATCCCTAAACAGAAAACTCCGAATGGGGTTTCTTTTGTGTTCGTTCGTGTTGTATTGTTTAGAAATAAATCACTATGCAGTAGATTCGCCAATTTTAAATGAAAAAAGTTTAATTTAAACCATTCAGTTAAAATAATAATATTAAAAAATTAATAAAACAGTTTTATGATGTCCGTAAGCATTTTGCAATAAACATATTATATTTTTAATGTTCACTTAAGATGCACTAATATCCACAATCAACTTTTTTCTACTTCCTACTCTAAAATAGCCAATATAGAGTGCGAAAAGTGTCACTTTAACACGTTTGCTCCGTTACCTACGGTCGCGAGCCACTTCGGACATTTCCGCTGTTTTAGTCACTGCTTTGGGAGCGATCGGATGTTTTCGGTATATTTTATCCATGATATTTTGACGTTTGTTAATTCTGATAGTCACGTAACACCTCATTTCATGTTTTGCAGAAATGTACCCCAAAACTAATGGTCGTAGAGACAGTATAGCAGCAGTATATGCAACACGCTGACCAACTTCTTCAGTCACTCGTTTATTTCGCTCTGCTGCGCCATTACTGGAGCATTTAATCGCAAATAATAAGAAAACCAAGTCCAATCAAGTTGAATTAGATTCCGAGTATCTTCACCCAACATAAGCATAAAGTTAGACGTTATTTATACAAAAAATCAGTTATCAATATAAAATCACAAGAGTAACATCCTAAATGGTTATGTTGTAAGCAATCGTTTTAACTGGCCTCAGGAATGTAAATGGTTTTGGTTAGTTTATTTTACATTTTATAGCATTTTGATATTTTCTCTTCGGTTTCTTTTTTTAATAATATTCTGTCCCGCAAAACCTTATGAGAATTTTTTTTGGAGTTTATACTTTCATTATGGTTTGCTGTACTTAATAACTGTTTTATTTTAAGTAAATTAAAACATAGTTTCTGAAATAAATGCCGAGATCTTATCAGAAGCAATATCTTTGGGAATACCATAAGAAAAAGTTGTCCACTAAAGATCTCGCTACTAAAATCGCATCCTTAAACAAATTTGGTAAGTTCAAGCTGTAGTTAGAATATAGCTAATGAATGTAGTTTGGAATAGGACCTACGATATCTAAAAATATTTTTATTTGTATGTCTTTGTATTAGTCATTCTATTATGGTCTCAAAAGATTACAGTCAAATATCACTTTTATAGCAATCCGGCCAATTCTGTATCCAATTTTGCGAAAAGTCATCCCAGCCTTTCAGTTGTCTATTTTCCCACCTTGTTCAAATTTACTGAATTTACTGAACAAAGTCAATAAAATTATACCTCACCAGTATAGTAATCACCCAGTGTTAAATAGGAACGATTGTCACTCTGCATAGAACAATGGATCGCGTACACCTGCACGTTATTTGAGGTGAATATTTAAACAACCAGGGAACAAATATTTAACCAAATTGTTATTGGGAGTTGGCTTTGCTTTGTTTCTTTTAGAGTTCCCAATCAAAAGATAACAATGCACGAAATCCAAATTTGTATTGTCAACACAAACACGTACCGAGTATTACCTATATTTGAAAAGACTTTATGGGAAAGGCAAACTAAACTTCGAGTGGATGGGATTATATCGCCGCCCGCTTTTGTTCCAGGAAAGCAAGCTTATTCAACGAAATTGTGAAAGAAAACAAAAAACGAAAAAACAAAATTAAATCTTTATTCTTCAGAAGGCCCAATAAAATGGGTTTGGTTCTATCGGTGTGCAGGGACACCACTTTAAATGACACTCGAAATAAAAACTTCCCTATCTGCTATTTTTAAATTTTAAAAGACGATTAATTTATAAGTCACTTGTCAAATGTCCAAAAATATTAAACCAACTTTCTCTTTTCGTCTCTTTAACAAAGTGAGCAAGATATATGTATCACTTAATCACAAGCACTATAGCACTCTCAGTATATCAAAATCGGTGAGTTCTCATGTGCCTAAAATTTTATATTTATGAATTCATTATGAAAAGATCGGTGCAGAGAGATAAAAACAGCCAAAAAGCAAAAGTTACAAAAGGTATTTTCAAGTCTGAAAATGGTAAATATGGAATACTTTTATGTGACTGATTTTCAGAAATCATGATTTAAATTGTAATTCTTGCCGAAAGTAATTAGTAGGAAACTGTGTCTCATCACAAAAAATACCCTATTTTATGTGTTTCATCTCCAAGTTTGAGGATTGGATATTTATTTTTGTGGAGTTCTTCTACTGCTTCGCGAAATAGTTCATTTGGGGTATTAATTCTTAGCGGCGCACCACTGACCCATGTTGCTGAATTCTTCGAAAAGTCATAGCCGGGGGCCTTCAAAAAAATAAAACGATACAAATGGGTGCGAGATTCTAATTACTGTTTGATTCCCAGAAACATACTTTATAAATATTTATGGATACAGCGTATACCGTATAACGCCATTTACCAATTAGAAATAAACTCCATATTAACAATTAACGATGCATATCATTTCTACGGTCGATATACGCAGTAATGTTAACAATTTTTTTTCGTTTTTTTTTATTTTATTGTTTAAAATTTTCATTAATTTCAATTCATTTATATGAGCTTTTTTTGCAGTGAATATTATTCCTTAATTTAAATTATTTATTGTTAATAAAATTTGAAGGTTGTGAAAACAGAAACTGAGTTATATCAAACTCTCTGTACAATCAATGGGATCAGACATTTGTTGGCAGCCATCTGATTGGATTCAGAAACGCTGGGGACTAAAATGAAAAATGTTTCAAGCATTAAAATACATAATTGCTTCTATTGTCTGGTGTCATTCTTCACATAAATAATTTGTACCATGCAAACAGGTCAGAGACCATTCTCGGTTTTGCGGACCACGAAGTTTTCCTATACGAATATGATTCTTGGGATGATCTTAAAATGAAAGTGGGAAATGACTTCAGTAAACACTTGAACAAATCAGTTTTCGTGCAATAAATGGGGTTTGCCGCATTTTAACATGTTAGATATACAAACAATACTATTCCATAAAATCGACATTCGACTTAGTAATAACAATTTATACAAAATTAATGGTATACAACATCTAAGGGGTGTTTTTTTTTCGATGTATAGAACTTTAAGTTGCAATA